CCCCCACCCTTTGGCCTCTGCCTCCCAACAATTTACCTCCTTGCAGCAAAGGGAGAAAATTGGGCTTGCGGAGGCTGCAATAGGCTATGGCAATCCCTGCAGCCTGAAACAGCTGATGATTGGGAGGCCCCTGCTGAAATTGAAAGTGAAACTTGCTATTTGCTGCACGGAGGTAAATTGCTGGGAGGCAGAGGCATTTTTTTTTTCTTGTGCTGATCACACTGTTTGCTTTTTGCTGCAAGGAGGTAAGTCAATAACTGTAAATGCCTATAGAATGTTCAAATTATTAGACTTATTTTTTTAAAGACATCAATCTTCTAGACAACTTAACAAAATGAAGAAGCTTTTAAAATAAATGCTTGATCTGAAGAGGCCCAGTGCTATTGTATCTTCTTTTTAAATAGCAGAGAATAACGTATACTTCCAGAAAGCCACATCAATTTTAACAGCATTTGACCAAGTAGAGTCTGAAAATGTAACACCACAGTGTACATCCTCTGTACTGTTTGCTGTTCGTTGCAAGGAGGAAAACTGCTGGGCGACAGAGGCAGATCTCCCCCGCCCTTGTTTTCCTCCCCAAAAGCTAGGTGCGTCTTATACTTCGGAGCGTCTTATACTCCGAAAAATATGGTAGTTTATTACTTTCAGGGCTGAGACTGATGCATTTCTAGTTTCTAGAACTAGAATAATTAGTTGTTGACTTTCACCCATCTTTTTAGCAAGCCATCTATGCTGGCTGGGATGAAGGCAGGTGAGGCACCTGAGGTTTTTACGGAGGGAAGTGGGGTCGTTGGCGAGGAGAGTGTTCACAAGGCCGAAGAGCTGCATCACTCTTTCATCCTGGCGAAGATCCTCGTGTCCTTTCAGAAGAAACACAAACTCATGTCCGTTGCTTCCTGTGGAAAAGGAAAAGACACTCTTGAGGTGTGTAAAACTGATGGAACCAAGAAAGGACTTGTCTCCGAGGCAAATTAGAAGGGGTAGCATTATGATGCTTTAGTGGCACAGTGGTTAGAACGCAGTACTGCAGGCTATTTCTGCTGACTGCCGGCTGCCAGCAATTTGAGTCTCACCGGCTCAAAGTTGACTCAACTTTCATCCTTCAGGGGTCAATAAAATGAGGATCCAGATTGTTGGGGGCAATAGGCTGACACTGTAAACCACTTGAGAGAGGGCTGTAAAGCACTATGAAGTGGTATATAAGTCTAAGCGCTATTGCCATTGGTTAAGTTCCTACAGTCAAATAATAAGCACACACTGCCCTTGTTAATTATGAACAAGGCAAAATGTACTAGAATAAAACAAAATCTCATAGGCCAAACATTCGCTGATCCTTCCCGAGCTTCTTCAATTGTCACTACACCCATTAATTTAACACTTCCCCTTTCTTAGCCTGGATGCATTTTATTGCTTGACTGATTTGCCTCCTTAAAGGCATCTGCTCGTGAACTGGACAGCTACAAGAAATTGATTTGTTCTGCATCCTGAGAGGTACATGAATGGGATATGGCTGCCCAAGGAATCATTGCATCGGCTTGCTCTTCCTGAACGCAATGTCTTTTTAATTGGATGCCGTTCTGTAAGAGGGAGCCGGCAATGGATACATCTGGAATCGGGCAACTTGGTCGTGGCTGAGAGAAGCCAAGCAAAGTCGGAGGCCCCCGAGAAGCCCCCAAAGCTTCCTTGCTTGTCAGAGCCAATTTCTCACCCATTAAGGTCAACTTCCTCGGCCTCTGTTTGGAGGTGATGACTTGCAGGGAGGGCGCGATGGACTGAATGCGGATGATCTGCTGATTCGGGTCGTACGTCCCCGGGACGGCCAGCTCCAAATCGCGGCACATCAGGAGTTTGGGGGAAACGTACTGGAGCTCCAAGGAAGTCAACTGTTGTTGGCAAGATGGGAAGCAAGCAAAGGAAGCTGGTTAGGACGTGTTCTGAAGGACAGATGGGGGAAAAAAATCCCCACAGAAAATGAGGATCCTCTCTCCCCAGACCTGAGGCAGCTGCTTGGAGATGCGCCGGAAGACGTGATAATACAGATCCCAAGCCTGGGTGAGATCCTTGACGTTTCCTGATTTCATATATTTCCGGCACCATTCCTGGGCCTCCATCAGATCTCTGCCGTAAGCCTGCAGGAAAGGAAAGAGTTGCTTTGGGCTTGTAGGCAGATCGTGTGGATCAGACTTTCAGGTTTCTAGGTCCTATCATATCTCAAGACTTAAAATGGACACCTAACATCAAAAACATCATCAAAGAAGCACAGCAAAGAATGTTCTTTCTGCACCAACTCTGAAAGTTCAAACTGCCCAAAGAGCTGCTGATTCAGAATCATTGATTCTGTCATCTGCACCTCCGTAACTCTCTGGTTTGGCTCTGCAACCCAACAAGACAGTCACAGACTTCAGAGGAGAATCAGAACTGCAGAAAAAACAATGGCTATCAACGTGCCTTCCATCCAGGACCTGTATACTCTGTATGAGTCAAGAGGGTTGTGAAAATATTTACAGACCCCTCACACCGTAGACATAAATTGTTTCAACTCCTATCCTCAAAACAATGCTATAGAGCATTGTACACCAGAACAATTAGACACAAGAACAGTTTTTTCCCCTAATGCCATCACTCTGCTAAACAAATAATTCTCACAACACTGCCAAACTATTTACTAAGACTGCATTACTATTATTCTTCTCATCCTTCCTATTACCTACCTCCTCTCACTTATGACTATAACCATATTGCTTGTATCCCTATGATTTATATGAATTTATTTGTTTCCTACTATGATTTGATTGCTTATTTAGTAACCTACGACTATCACTAAGTGTTGTATGTATCTTATGAGTCTTGATGAATGTATTTTTTTTCTTTTTATGTACACTGAGAGTATATGCACCAAAGACAAATTCCTTGTGTGTCCAACCACACTTGGCCAATAAAAAATTCTCTTATATTCTATTCTATTACAACTTCTGGAGGCAAGCTGTTCCACTGATTAATTGTTTTAGGAAATTTCTCCTTAGTTCTAGGTTGCTTTTCTCTTTGATTAGTTTCCATCCATTGCTTCTTGTCCTGCCCTCAGGTGCTTTGGAGAATAGCTTGATTGCCTCTTCTTTGTGGCAGCCCCTCAAATATTGGAAGACTGCTATCATGTCACCCCACTCCTTCTTGTCACCGAACTAGACATACCTAGTTCCAGCAACCGTTCTTTATATTTTAGCCTCCAGTCCCCTAATCATCTTTGTTGCATAATTCATTATGTCAGACGGAGGCTGTTCCTTTAGGCCAGTATTCCGATATCTTTTTTATGGGTAAGCCTGCAATGTGATTTGTTTCTCTCTTTCGTTGCTACCTGATTGAAGGAGGTTTCCTTGAGCGTCTGAGGCCCACGCTCCATCATGGCATGCAGCGGCTCGAGCACTTCGAACATCCCCTTCACGTTCCTCTCCCCGAAATAGAGGCGAGATGCTTCCTCCAGCCCTTCGTGCCACATCTCGTGCCACAGGATGGCCACGCGGATCAGCTCTTCACTTACCTGGTGGCAGAAAAGAGGAAAGGCCCCCCGGGAGAGGTTAAAAGGCAAAGGGGGGGGGAGGGTTTTGCTGGCATTCAAATGCATGGGAGGCTCAGGCTCTTCACTGAAGCGTGTTCTATGTTCTCCACCCCACCCTGCTGGGTTGAACAAGGCCAGGTTGAAGGAAAAACTACCCTCTCAGCAGTGGAAGATTGGCATCTCAAACCTACACCAATTGGGAAAACATATCCTCTTGATATGGACAAGGGACATTCTACCATATGTGGTGGACCTGCCCAAAAACTAAGAAATATTGGATGAAAATTTAAAAATGGTTAGAAGAAATTACGGAACTAAAAATAGTGATGAAACCAGAACTGTTTCTACTAGGGATTATGAAGGGAAACCTAAGCAAAGAAATTCAATATATCATACTCCATATAATAACCGCATCCAGAATTACTTTCACTCAGAATTGGAAACAAGAAAACATTCCTTCGAACACAATGATAATAAAAAAGGTGTTCGACTATGCAAAAAAGAATAAATTAACCATGGAATTAAAAGATAGAGAGGAAACAATTGGCTAGAAACTAGATACATAATTAATACATAAAGAGTACCTAGGAACATTAGTAAAGTGAAAAACTGTATATAAGTTAAAGGTATTACCGTATTTTTCGGAGTATAAGCCCCAACATTTTTCCTCAAAAAAGAGGCTGAAAATCTGTGTGTGTCTTATACACACGTCTTAAAAAATACACAGCATTTTTTGTCTTGCGAAACCCTATCCCTTCACTAAAATGGCCATGCATAGCCCTTAGGAAGCTTCCAGAGTGCTCCTGGGGGCTGGGGAGGGCAGAAATGAGCGAAAAATGGGCTGTTTTTGGGAGGTCTACAGAGTACAAAAACTTTTTTTAAAAAAATTTGCCTCTTCAAATCTGTGGTGCATCTTATTCTCCGTTGCGTCTTATACTCCGAAAAATGTGGTACACACACACGCACACACACACACACACACACAGATATGTAATGTATAACATGTAATGTATAAAAGACCATAAAACTTTCTGTTCAATCAAGAGCAAACTTTCTGCCTAGAGTTTGTATAGCAGAAACAGCTATAGCCGCAACCTTAGAGATCTAACCCAGACTGACTGCTAGAAGGAGTCACACAACTGTTCTCAGGGGACGCATAAAGCTGCTTCTTACACAATTCAAGCAATTACACAATTCTATAACAAAGCTTTAGCAAGCTCCCTTTCCCATTTTTTGTCTTAGCAACAGCAGAGAGTGTGCACAGAGGCAAGAGAGCTTACGACAGACTGGCAGTTTCCCCCGATTTTAGGAAAAGATCTTATTCTCTGCCCAAGCTTGCTTTAAGTGGACTTTAGGGAGCCAGTATATAGTAGTTACAATTCGGAGGAGGGGCAACAGCTTGGAAGAGATTATCCAAATAAGGATTATAAAAGTTAATAAACCAGAGCAGAACCGTATGTACCAGGAACTGAAAGCTCAGAGGAGAAACTGGTTTTTTTATTTAAATATGAAACTTTTTGAAAATCCACTCTTTCAGAGCCCTGATCGAATTTCTTTCAAACTGCGTATACTATAAATAAGCACGCACAAAAAAATAAATAAACCTCAGTGTTTGTAAAACTGAATAAAATAATAAAAAGGAGCAGCATTTCCACAAAGGCAAAGCTAGTAATTGGGAGTGAACTGGGAAAGTAAGTTAATTGAAATGATAATTCGTATTTTTCGGAATATAAGATGCATCCTTTTCCCTCAAAAAAGAGGCTGAAAATCTGGGTGCGTCTTATACACTGAATACAGCATTTTTGGCCTCCCGAAACCCCGTCCCTTTCACCAAAATGGCCGTGCATAGCCTTTAGGAGGCTTCCAGAATGCTCCTGGGGGCTGGGGAGGGCAGAAATGAGTGAAAAACGGGCCATTTTCTGCTCAATTTCCCCCACCCTTCGGCAGGAGCACTCTAGAAGCCTCCTAAAGGCTATGCATGCCCTTTTTTTGAAGAAAAAAAACGAGCCCGTTTTCGCAAAAAATGGACCATTTTGGGGAGGTTTACAGAGTGCAAAAAAGGTTTTTTTTTTTATTTGCCTCTTCAAAACCTTTGTGCGTCTTATACTCCGGTGCATCTTATACTCTGAAAAATATGGTAAATTGATGAAAATCAGGGTGAGGGCATAAAAGAATGAACCAGTTCATTCCTTGTGGTTTTGCATGTGGGAAAAACATGGCAGGAAGCAGTATATATACTACTGACCATCATGGCTTGTTGGACGAGCGTGTTGCTGTGTTCGCACATATTTTTCAATATCTTGTTAGCAGCATTGTGCCGGGCTGTTGTCGTTGACTTTGAGGCAACTGTCAGTGGATAGATCAGAGCCTATAGGAGGGACAAGAAAAAAGGAGCAATTCATCAAAGTTTGGAGTTTGATAGGTGGTGTGTATCTGTGTGAAGACTCTGTGTTTCTCACCTGGGGATGGTACCTTCCAATGTCAGTGAGCAGCTGGTAAATGAGCCGTCCCACCAAAGGCCGAGGTGTGTCAATTCTTGCAATCAGCTGTGGGATCACCTGATTTTTCAGGGGAGCAAAAAAAAAAAAAAAAAAAAAAGGAGAGATAAGAATATAGAATAACAGAGTTGGAAGGGACCTTGGAAGTCTTCTGTCCAACCCCCTGCTTAGGCAGGAGGAAACCGTACACCACTTCAGACAAATGGATATCCAACATCTTAAAAATGTCCAGTGTTGGAGCATTCACAATTTCTGCAGGCAAGTTGTTCCACTGATTAATTGTCTCAGGAAATTTCTCCTTAGTTCTAGGTTGCTTCTCTCCTTGATTGGTTTCCACCCATTGCTTCTTGTTCTACCGTCAGATGCTTTGGATAATAGTTTGACTCCCTCTTCTTTGTGGCAGCCCCTGAGATATTGGAACTCTGCTATCATGCCTCCCCTAGTCCTTATTTTCATTAAACTAGACATACCCAATTCCTGCAACTGTTCTTCATATATTTTAGCCTCCAATCCCCTCATCATCTTTGTTGCTCTTTTCTGCACTCTTTCTAGAGTCTCCACATCTTTTTTACACAATGGCAACCAGTTAAGGAGAGGGGAGATTATTCTTTCCCTTCTTAAAGCTGTATAACCAGGCAGCTGCCACTCAACAAATTCTACTATCCCCCGCAGGAGGCAGAGCTTCCTATCTCAAAATCCAGAGCTCCATGTCAGAACTAGGCTGTTCGCTGGAGAACAGTCCCTGCCAAAGAAATGACCAAAATACACAAGAAGGAGAAAGAATATTTTGCTGACATCACATATCAGCAGGTGCCCATATGGAAGGGGGAATGCTGGCTGGAGAATTCTGGGAGTTGAAGTCCACCCAAGTTGAGAAACACTCACTTAAGAGTAAGACAGGTGGTTCACACTTTCGTACCAGTCCCTTACCTGGAGCCAGGTGTCGATCTGGATGGCCTTGACCCCTTCCACCAAGGCTTCATTGACTTCTGGCCAGTGGCCATAGTCAAACCACAATGTAAGAACCCTGGAGAAAGAGAAAACAATTCCACGAGTTCCGTTTTCTTCCTTAGATAAGCACACAAGGAGGGGGGGAGTAAGGCACTTTGCCCTTGGGCTTACCCTCCCGTTACCCCATTCCAAAAAATGATGATTAAAGGTTTCAAATCAAAAGGCACCTGAGCGTATCCTGCAGGTTGTTTCCCCGGGACAAAGAGATGGATCGGAAGAAGCCCTGAACTGCTGGCACGGTGTACATCAGGAGGGTTTTCGACAAGTCCTTTCGGGAAGAGAGAAGGAGCGATGAGTCTCCCCCCAAGAAAGGGGGAATTGGGGATTTCTCTGACACACATACACACACACACCCCGGGAGCAGCCTGACCTCTGTGACCTTCTTCTGCACGGGAGAAGGGGCAGGGCTGTTCTCAGCGCTCTCGGCCTCGCTTTCGCTGTTGCTGCCTTCCGTGTTGGCGCTGGTGATGCTGGTCCCGCTGGCATGGCGCAGCTTCTTCTTCTCGTCTCGGGCCTGGTTCTGGAGCTTGTAGTGCAGGACCGCCTCAAAGTTCATCACTGCCCAGGCATGCCAAGCCTGGAAAGAGAAGAGGCATCTCTGGCATGATTTGGCTGTCCCTGGAGGGCAGTGTCTGAGACACCAGTTCAGTCCTTGAGCCATTTCTTCACCTGTTAGGTTCCACAACTCGTTTTCCCCAGAAGCAAAACTTATATGGACTTATCTCCTCCCCACTTCTCCAATTTTTTCTTAACTCTTTCAAGGACAATGATGCAATCTGGCTTTTCCTGATCAACGCCCCCGTTCCCCCCCCCCCCCATTTAGCTTTTCTCTCAAACCTACATTTGTTCCCTTTGAAACTTAACTACAGAGGCCACACCTGCTTTCCTAAAAGTTGTATCCGCTTAGCCAGGATCCAATCTGGGTCGGTCACTGGGACCGGAGATTTTGTTTGTCTTCTGAGCTTTTGGACTCATGCTGGAGCCCATTTTCAGGGAGCCGTGGTGGCGCAGTGGTTAGAGTGCAGTACTGCCGGCTACTTCTGCTGACTGCCGGCTGCCTGCAATTTGGCAGTTCAAATCTCACTGGTTCAAGGTTGACTCAGCCTTCCATCCTTTTGAAGTCGGTAAAATGAGGACCCAGATTGTTGGGGGAAGAGTCTGGCTCTGTAAACCGCTTAGAGAGGGCTGGAAAGCACTGTGAAGTGGTATATAAGTCTAAGAGCTATTGCTAACTTCTCTTTGGTTTGGAAGACAAAACCTCTGGTCCTGGTGACCGACTCAAATTGCACCCTACAACATTATTCTGGGACGCATGTATTGGCCTTCGCTTTTTATGTAGGCTGTGTCAAATTTTTCAACTTTCCACTTTAGAAACATTAGGGGTGCTCAAAAGTTGTGACATGCCTTGGGGATTGTAAATATATTTTGGTTACTTTAATATCATTTAGATGTGCTTGGTAAGTAACTACGTACATAAGTATCATAACTTTTTCATATTTGGTTTGTTTCACTTTGCCAACTGGCAGTCCTCCAACACCAATTCCAGTCGCACCGTTAACAATCCAAATGAAAATGGGGATGTGGCTTCTTCATGTCAGCCTTTGACTCCCTTCCTTCAGCACTGCCATGGTTTTACCTCCAGAGTTTCAGACCAGAGCGAGTCCTTCTTGGTGAGACAACCTGGTTCCTGGTTTCTTATGCCGGCGGCACATGAGTGCCGGTACTAAAAGCCACCAAGGGACCTACCGTATTTTTCAGAGTATAAGACGCACCGGAGTATAAGATGCACCAAAATTTTGAAGAGGCTAATTAAAAAAAAAACGTTTTTGCACTCTGCAGACCTCCCAAAAATGGCTCATTTTTCGTGAAAACGGGCCCGTTGTGTGTGTGTGTGTTTTAAGAGCATGAATAGCCTTTAGGAGGCTTGTACAGTGCTCCTGGGGGTTGGGGAGGGCAAAAATGAGCAAAAAACCCCGTTTTTTACAAAAATTGGCCGTCTTTTTTTTTTTTTTAATGGCATGAATAGCCTTTAGGAGGCTTGTAGAGTGCTCCTGGGCCCATTTTCGCTCATTTCTGCCCTCCCCAGCTCCCAGGAGCACTCTGAAAGCCTCCTAAAGGCTATGCATGGCCATTTTGGTGAAAGGGGAGGATTTTTTGGAGGCAAAAAAAATAATGCTGTATTCAGTGTATAAGACACACCCAGATTTTCAGCCTCTTTTTTGAGGGAAAAAGGTGCACCCATACTTCGAAAAATACAGTACCTCTGACCTGACCTCTCCCTTGACTTACTTTGTACCAATTGCGGTCATGCTCTGTAGAGGCGCTGTAGTACTGCAGGACCTTGGGAATGGTGCTCTCATTGATGCCTTGCAGGTTCAGCTGCCACTCTCCCAGTTTCAGGAAACACCTGAGAACAGGACAAAGAAATCTGGGTTACCAGGAGGAGGAGGAGGGGGAGGAGGTGGTTATCAAATCTGAGATGTGGAGCAAGTTTCTCCACATCTTCTGATTGTGCACTATTTCTTTAAGTTTTTCTATGCTGTGTCTGGTGTCAGCTTTGATAGTGTCCAACCACCACGTCCTTTGACAGCTTGGTTTCCTTTTACCATTAACTCTTCCAAACCTAATTGCTTCTTTCTCCAGTGAATTCCCCCGAATCATCATTATCCTCTTTTAATGGCCCTAGGATCCCTTGTGGGGTGGAGTCTGGGCAACTGAATGGAGCCGAATCTTTACTGGCCGGATGCCCTTCATGTTGCCATTGCGGAGTTTTTTTCCTTTTCAGCAGATATATTCTCAGTGTGCCCAGAGAGAGAAATATCTGCCTCTGCCTAGGATTGACCTCACAGCCTCCTGATTGTGAGGCAAGAGGTCTACCTCTAGGCCACTGCACCACTCAAATGAATTCTGGATCCTGGATGATCAGCCAGAACGAGGCCACTGTCCACCTCTGGGGGATGTAACTGCATCAGGGCCCAGGAAGGAAACTCACAAAGCAGAAATGTCTTCTTAGGGAGTCTTAAGTACATTTTGCCTACTGACTCACTGTTTCTAGAGAGGTCCCTGGTGCAAACTCAGATACTAGCTACTTAAAGAGATATTTACAATACTTCTTGCAACAATCTTATTCTGGTTTATTGGAACCAGAAATTGGTACCTGTATACCAAAGATATAAACAGATAAACTTTTAATCTTGTAAAAGTAAGAAATAAGACTCCTCCCCTTCGGGCAGGAGTCCCACGTGATTTAGATTAGCTAGAAAGCAGGATTTCGGGAGAACCGGTAGTACAAAAATCCTTTAAAAAGTAAAAAAAAAAAGTTCCGATGATCAGCTGTGCGACGATCAGCTGTACTGTGCGATATTTGGAACTTTTAAAAAACTTTTTAAAGCCTTTTTTAACTACCAGTTTCCCCGAATCGGTAGTTTAAAAATGCTTTAAAAAAGGTCTGAGGATCAGCGACAATCAGCTGTTCTGCGTGATCCTCGGAACTTTAAAAAAAAAACTTTTTAAAGCGTTTTTTAACTACTGGTTGTCTCAGGGGTTGGTTCTGCCAACCCCTGGTCTGTAGACCAGCCTTGGGTCACAGCATGCCTGAAAACGGTCTGCGCAAACAAGCAAAGCCCCATCCGCAGGATGCAGGCACCACACAAAGCCACACACCCCTCCTGTCTGTGGAAAAAAACCTCTCTCCACAGAACTGGTCCCTGGTGCCCCAAAAAGTTGGGGCAGATGCGTTAGGGTGCCATTCCTGGGTTTGGCAAGACGGTTGCTCACCGGGCCATGAGTTTGTGAAGCTCCTGTCGGTGCTGCTGATCCTCGGTGGCGATGGCATGCTGAGCTTGCTGCTGCATCATCTGGACAAAATGCTGCATGTGCTGGAAGGCTTCGATCTGCAAGATGGGAAGCGAAGCAAAGGGGTTGCTAAGGAGACCGTCTCCCTCCTCCTGCTCCTCCTCCTCCTGGACCACGCGGGGCATCCCCTCCTCTTCTGCTCTGAAAAGCCATTTGCCCAACATGCCGTTCGAAGTACAGTTGGTGCAAAACTTTGCTTAGTGACCGTTTGAAGTTACAATGGTCCCGGAAAAATGACCATTTTTCAACCATTGCAGCATCCCCGTGGTCACATGATCAAAATTTGGCAACTGACTCATATTTATTATGGTTATGGGGGTGTCCCGGGGTCGTGCGATCACTTCTTTGCAACCTTCCAACAATGGGGAAGCCAGATTCACTTAACAACCCTGTGACTGACTTAACATCTGCAGTGATTCACATAAGCATTTTGGCAAGAATGGTCATAAAATGGGGCAGACCTCAATTTTAAAAAATGTCTTACTCGGCAACTGAATGTTTGGGCTCGATGGCGGTCATAAGGAGAGGACTACCTGTATTTGGTGCTGGGCATTAAGATCTGCAAGGAACTGTAAGGTAAAGGGAAAGGTTCCCCTCACACATCTGTGCTAGTCATTCCCGACTCTAGAGGGCGGTGCTCATCTCTGTTTCAAAGCTGAAGATCCAGCGCTGTCCGAAGATGTCTCCGTGGTCATGTGGCTGGCATGACTCAATGCCGAAGGAGCACGGAGCACTGTTACCTTCCCACCAAAGGTGGTCCCTATTTTTTCTACTTGCATTTTTTACGTGCTTTCGAACTGCTAGGTTGGCAGAAGCTGGGACAAGTCACGGGAGCTCACTCCGTTATACTGTGCTAAGGATTCGAACCGCCAAAATGATCGACCTTTCTGATCGACCAACTCAGCATCTTATCACAGTTCTTGCGTAAAAGGCCTCTTTCTTCAGCATCCAGATACGGTCGGAAATAGACACAACTCCAGAAAAGGAGGGGAGAAGCCATGTTCTCTTCAAAATTGTGGAGGGGAGGGGGGAAGATGGCAAGGAAGGAATCTCTGGCTTGGTTTTAACTGCCAGCATTGCAACGGCTCTAAGACAGAAAGAATTATGCAAGAAAGGGACGCCATCCTTAAGAGAGTAGCCCTGTCCTACCTTGCGGGCGCTTTTCCACATGTGCTTCATGTATGCGTAGGTCACTTGAGGGTGAAGAGTGGGCAAGGGATGGTCCAGCTGTCGGGATGGGTCGACACCCAGGAGCAACACCAGGGTTTTTTGGGCTAAAGCCTTCGGCGAGGAACAAAAGGAGAGACAAGTTAAACGCAGAGCTCACATCCAGGCCTTTTCCTCAGCAAGCTGGCTGGGGGATTCTGGGAGTGGAAGTCCACCCTTCTGAAAAGCTACGGAGCAGAGGTGGTATTCAGCAGGTTCTGACCAGTTCTGGAGGACCGGTAGCAGAAATTTTGAGTAGTTGGGAGAACCAGCAAATACCACCCCCGACTGGCCCCATCTATTCTCTGCCTCTTGAGTCCCAGCTGATCGGGAGGGAATGGGGATTTTGCAGTATCCTTCCCCTGGAGTGGGGAGGCAATGGAGATTTTACAGTATCTTTCCCCTGCCACGCCCACCAAGCCATGCCATACCCATAGAACCGGTAGTAAAAAAAAAATTGAATCCCACCACTGCTACGGAGGGAGGTTAAGCAGCTTCTCAGGCTGAACAAAGTGGAGGCCGGAGTTACTCACCAGCCTGCCGCTCTTGCCACACAAGCTGGCGTACTTGAGCCACACCCTCATGTCCTCGTGAGGGTTGACCACAAGCGATCGGACCATGAGAATCCGCTGCCAGTCCTCTACGATCCGCTGGCAACCCTAGGAAGAAAGGGGTTTCTCAATAGCCTTCTCTTGAAGGGGAATAGGAATAAGGATATACTAAATAATACCAGAATAGAATTAGTAGAAACTTGTTATTTGTTATTCTGTAAACCTTTCTAACACATACATGTAAACATTTGTTTTCCGTAACACACACATATTATGCCCTTGTATTTATAACGTATATACCTCTGTTTCCTGCAACTATTAGGAATACAACTATTCCTACTGTATTAGGGTCGGTGAAACATCTGGCATTTGTCAAAACATGATCCTTGCCATTTGGACTCTTATCAATCTCCTTCCTGCAATCTATGGGCATAGAACGGAATGGAGCTGGAAAACCCATACCTTTGATCTGTGAGAAACCTTTGATCCATGAGAATTCCATTCCTTGTAACACAAAGAGGATCAGGAAGAATTACCGTACTTTTCGGAGTATAAGACGCACCCAGGTTTTGAAGAGGCAATTTTTTTAAAAAAGTAGGTAGGTAGATAGAGGGATAGAGAAGGAGAGAAAGAGAGAGAAATAGAGTAGGTAGGTAGGGAAAGAGAGAGATAGTAGTTGGTAGGTAGGTAGGTAGGTAGGTAGGTAGATAAAGGGAGGGAGGGAAAGAGAGAGAGAGAGAAATACAGTAGATAGGTTGGGAGAGAGAGAGTAGTTAGATAGGTAGGTAGATAAAGGGATATATATAGAGAGAGAGAGGGAGGGAGGGAGAGAAAGAGAGAAATACAGTAGGTAGGTAGGGAGAGAGAGAGAGTAGGGTAGGTAGATAAAGGGGGGGGAGAGAGAGAGAGGGAGAGAGAGAGAGAGAGAGAGAGAGAGAGTAGGCCACGGCCACAGAACCACTAAGGGAAAAAAATTAGATTTCACCACTGCACCAGATGCTGGGAAAACCACCCTCCACTCCAACTACTAAAGAGAGATGTGGCATTTGGGAGGCGCCTCCTTTCGGCATGTTCACATTTGTGTGTGAAATCTGTATTTTCACATCAGAAAAACTGGGTTTCCTTTGGGCACAGTTTTAAATGCATTCTGGGATGGAGATGTATAGATTCAACTGCATCTGATTTCTCACTATTTAGCCATGTGGGAGGGAAGCTGAGTTTTCTGTGCCTTCTTCAAAATAATTTTTATTTTTCCCTAAAAGCCGGGGAGATCAACTCTTGGAATGGACTGTCTGGATCAATGGGGATCACTTGGGGCAACTTTCCCACTCATCTAAAATTAGAAGAAACATGATGCTGCCTGAAGCTTTATTTGAAATCAACTCTCCACTAAACAATCCAGAAGAATGTGATGAGTAAGAGCGAGAAGTATGTGTCCTTTCTTTGCCCCGTTTCCCCCTCTTTTCGGGGTGATAAACAGCTCCATCTGCAGACCTTCCCCATCGGCTTTGCCTCAACCGGTGGAATGTTCTCTCAGCTCTTCCAGACAGGAATGCAGCTCTGGAGACGAAATGCTTCCCAGATGGCACAGGAAACTAGAAGGCGGCTGCTGGCAGTGACACGTATGCGGGGCTTAGGCTGGGCGGACTCAGGCAGGGGCAGAACAGGAAGGAAGGAAGAAGGGAAGGAAGGAAGGAGGGAGGGAAGGAAGATAGGAGAGAGATGGGGATGGGATGGGAGGAAGGAAGGAAGAGGAGGGAGATGGGGAGGGGAGGGAGGAAGGAAGAGGGGGGAGATGGGAGGAGAGAGATGGGGATGGGATGGGAGGAAGGAAGGAAGGAAGAGGAGGGAGATGGGGAGGGGAGGGGAGGGGAAGGGAGGGAGGAAGGAAGAAAGATAGGAGGGAGATGAGGATGGGAGGAAGGAAGGAAGGAAGGAAGAGGAGGGAGATGGGGAGGGGAGGGGAAGGGAGGGAGGAAGGAAAGAAGATAGGAGGGAGATGGGATGGAAGGAAGGAAGGAAGGAAGGAAGAGGAGGGAGATGGGGAAGGAAGGGAGGAAGGAAGAGGAGGGAGATGGGGAGGGGAGGGGAAGGGAAGAGAGGGAGGAAGGAAGATAGGAGGGAGATGGGGAGGGGAGGAAGGAAGGAAGGAAGATAAGAGGGAGAGGGGATTGGATGGGAAAGGAAAGAAGGGGATGGGAGGGGATGGGAAGGAAGAAAGGAGAGAAGGAGTGAAGGAAGGAAGGGGAGAGAGAGAGGGAGATGGGAATGTGAATGGAAGGGAGGGAGGAAGGAAAGGGAGGAAGGAGATGGGAATGGGAATGGAAGGCAGGAAGGCAAAGGAGGAAGGGAGGGAGGGAGGAGATGGGAATTGGGAATAGGGAGGGAGGTTCTAGTCCAAAATGCCTGAGCGTGCTGTTCTCCTGTTATCAGAGTTCCTAAACTGATTCTGAATATCAGACCTGCTTCTTTGGAGCTGCTGCTTCCAAGGTAGCCTTACCTGCAGTCTTTCCCACCAGATCTGGCGAAGGATCTCTCGCCGTTCTGGCACAAGCTTGTACTGGATCACTTCTTCCAGCTCAGACAACATCTGGCAGGAGACCATCGCCTGCAAAAAAGGGGTTGGCACCATCATCATCATCATCACTACTCCGGGACTTACAACCACAATGGAACCCAAAAGTCATGTTGTTAAGTGAGACGTGTTCATTGAGCTTTGCTCCATTTTATGACTTTTTTTGCCACGTTCGCTAAGGGGAATCGCTACAGCTGTCAAATTAGTAACACGGTCGTTAAGTGAATCCGGCTTCCCCCATTGATTTTGCTCATCAGAAGGTCACAAAAGGGGATCATGTGACCCCATGCGACCATCATGTGAATCGGTTGCCAAGCATCCAAATGTAAATCAAGGGTCGTAAGTGTGAAAAATGGCGATAAGTCACTCTTTTTAGGGCCATTGTAACTTCAAACTTTCACTCGGCAAACAGTTGTAAGTCAAGGACTCCCTGTAGATCCCCTAAGGAAGGATTGCAGTGCCGGATGGATGAGGAGACGACATACTCACCCCGTAAGCTCGACTGTAACTCTCTCCTGCCATGGCTGTCAGCTCTGCATCCAGGAGATCTCGGGCTTTGTCGATGCACTGGGGGGGGTGGGGAGAGAAAAGATTAAGCAAAATGAAGACCTGCACCAAGGAAAAGTTCCCCGAACACAATCCGGGGATAAAATAGCTTTTTGCTTTTTTCCCGAGAGGCTGAATCCTGATTTCTGTCTCCGGAATCCCAGCAAGGGGAGAAGAGAAAAGAGTCACTCGGTGGTCTGGTGAAAACAAATTTTGTGGCAGGGAAACCAAAGACCGACAGCTTTGGAGGCAAGAGATGTTGTGGCCTGCCAGCGGCCAGCAAAGCAGGCAGCAGAGTCGGACAGTGAGGAGGTTGGGGAGGAACATGGGCCGGTCCTGGAGTTTGGGGAAGACTCGGAGGAGGCCTCTGCATCGGAGGCAGAGACGGGGCCAAGGCAATCTGGCAGTGATCAGCTGCCTACGGAGCTAGACAGCAGTGAGGCAGAGGAACAGCTGGAGCCTGTTCCCAATGTGCGCATGCGCAGAGCTGCCAGAAGAAAAGAGCAGCTCAGAAATCAGGGTCGACTTGGGAGTAAAGCCACAGGTGGGCAGTGAATGGCTCCTCCCATCAGAAATAAAAGAGGAGCGAAAAGGGAGTGGGCTTTTGCAGGAAACAATCCGTTCGTTCGATTCGTTTCAGGAGTGTGAAGATCTGTCCGTTAATCTCAGAGACTCTGTGCCCAGTTTTTCCTTGCACAGCACCTCATTTGGAAAATATTTACATGGCAGCTTTCCAAGATAGATAAGGTCTGTGGTCATAAATATTCCTTTGAAAGACTGCTTGCCAGGCCTTTGCTGAATGTGAAGGAGAGGAATTCCCATTCGTTTAACAAAAGGGGTTTTGCTGGGACCAGGACTTTGCCTCCTGCTTTTTTGGGGAAGCCTAGGTAAGAACAAGAGAGGGAGAGCAGCATAGACAAGACAGTTAACAGCTGAGGAGTGGGGGGCCATTTAAAATCCAAATAAGAGGGTACAGGAAACGTAGGCTCTGGGTGCCACAACACGACTGAAAGAAGAAGGAAAAAGTTGAGGTAAACACAAAGAAATCCAACCATCAGTGTGTTCGAAAACTTCAAAAACTTATGAAGATGCTTTAATTCCTGGCTCTTTCCACCCCCCAGGCGTTGAGTTAGGTAGAGTGGTGGGCCCGGGTAGGAAAGATGTAGGCCCGAGATGGTTTTATTTCACCCAGATGGCTCTCATCCGCCTCTTTTTTTGTTATCGTGGCTGTATTTGTTTTCCGTGATTTAAGTCAGACGGTCTTTTACAAATCTGATGAATAAATATTCCAAGAGCATAATGGCTTGGGAACGCTCTTGCCAGGCAAAGCCTTTCCAGACTTCCTAAAACCTCAGCTGGGCTCCCGTACAAAAGAAGCCACCCCCCCCCCCCCCGAAAGAATTTCCCCTGAAGGGACACGGCTCCTTACTTGCAGGAGGACAAGCTCCATGTTCTCTCTAGGGTTACACAACCACCCTTTTGGTGCGGAATATGAACCGGTCCTCATCCGGCCCAACCATAATCCAAAGCTGAAATACAGTCGCAGGACGGTCCATTAAGTAACCCTTTTTTTCAAAAGGTACAAAAAGATCATGATCATGGAAATGTCCTTCTAAGGGCTCCGGGGAGGGGTGGGTGGGCCTTGTCTTATTTGCGTTGCTAGCAGCCGAATGGTTTTGTGTGGGTCGTCTTGAAATTATTATTTTTTTAAGAGGTTTCTTTCGGCTGCGAATTTCGGAGGGGACCGCAGAATAGGCTTCTTTTGAAAGATAAGCCAACAATCATTCCTGGGATATAAGGCCTTGGTAAAACCACGCTTGGAATGCGGCATCCAGTTTTTGGTCACCACATTATTAAAAAATAAAATGTTGAGACTCTGGAAAGAGTGCCGAGAAGAGTAAACACACGACGACTGGGGGCCTGGAGGCTAAAACGTATCAACAATAGTTGCTGGGATTGGGTATGTCTAATTTAGTGAAAAGAAGGACTAGGGTTAGATAAAAAAATCACGGCAACGGAAAATATTGGAGACTTTTTTATATTTTAAGAATAATAGAATGATAGATGCAATACTATAAGGGTTTAGCATTGTTAAACAGATTAGAAT